ATCTGTTTTGAAAGGTGGAGGGGGAGGGCATTTTGTGAGTCGACACCCACCTCAGCCCCACCATGGCTGGGGCTGAGGTGAGAAAATCTGAGGAAATAGTACCTCTAGATGGCCAGAAATGACACTTTTTGTACAATTCATCATCATCACATCACCATTAGTCAAAATGAAGCGCCAAAAACAATTCTCATAATCTTTTATCAGGGATTTTTGACAACCATAGAGATCTTATTAATGTGTGTGTGATATACCACAGAAAACAAATCTTAAACACATTGTCTTTGAGTATGTATTTTACATAGGCCTACTTCAAAAACATGATTTCACAACCACCTCAACCCCACCATGGCTGGGGCTGAGGTGAGAAAATTTGAGGAAATAATACCTCTCGAGATGGCCGGAAATGACACTTTTATATTGTAAAATTCATCATCATCACATCACCATTATAGTCAAAATGAAACGCCAACAAATTTCTCATGATCTTTTACAAGGAATATACTTAATATCAGGACAACTTAGGTCTAACTATAGCTTACTAAGCTTTAACTATATTATGATCAACAAATCACAACTTTTACCAATTGGGGATCAACAAAGACAATAGAAATGATAAAAAGCAGAAAATTTAGACAGTTAAGTGAGATTTATTTAGGAAAACAATGTTTCTTGAGAAGCCGACGAAGTCGAGGCTTTTAGGTATATATCTAGACTTATGCCTTGTTTTTTTTTACAAGCCCGGGCACATGTACCTACTACTAGCCTTCTCAATAGCCCACTGTTTATTATTTCAAACACTTAACTTTTGTATTAATTGTAACGCTTATACGCACCCCCCCCCCTTTGACAATGGTCACTAAGGAGTGCCCAAGTGACCTCAGAATTTCATCCATTTTACTTGTTGACACCGTCCAAAAAAGCTGTGAAACTTTAATTTAAAATAGAGGGCGTCCATTTGAGTTGCACTGCCATTGGAGTTTTGCATTGCCACCAATGTTTTGCACTGTGACCCTCAGTTTTGCACTGTGACTCTCAATTTTGCACTGTGACTCTCAGTTCTGCACTGTGACTCTCACTTTTGCACTGTGACTCTCAGTTTTGCACTGTGACTTGATCACTTTTGCACTGTGACTCTGTGTTTTGCACTGCTGACTCTGTGTTTTGCACTGTTGACTCTGTGTTTTGCACTGTGACTCTCAATTTTGCACTGTGACTCTGTGTTTTGCACGAATCAGTTTTGAAATGTGACTCTATGTTTTGCACTGGTGACTCTCAGTTTTGCACTGGTGACTCTCGATTTTGCACTGCTGACTCTCAGTTTTGCACTGCTGCCAATTGTATTTTGTCCTTTTGGCGTTCCAGAGGACAGGCGGTAACCCACCCCGCGGCGCCACAAAAGAACCAAGTTATGCGGGCGCGCCGGTACCACAAAAGACACTGTCACGTTTAAGCAAAGATAAGACCATTGTTGTACGCACACACTTATGTTGCCGAGTGGAGAATTCTGCTTCACTGTTAGACTTGCCACAAGACCTCTTATTTTTTTATTATTTTACTCATTCTGGACAGCGCCACTAACAAGAAAGTTAATTTATAGACGGAATAAGCGACTTGTAAAACACTGAAATCAGGCACCAGGATGCCAAAAGAATGACGTAATCTTATATTCCGTATTTGGATAAATGGGCGGACCGAAATAAACAATTTCAACCAATCAAATGTTCATATTTTTGGAGCCTCGAAACTGAGTCACTCGCGTCGACTAGTTTGGCCATAGGACCATGGTTAGGCATGACTAAATTTAAATAGTCTTCCCTAATAAAACGGGCCTAAAATATTTAGAATAGACCCTAGTAAGTCTAATGTTGGCAATGGCAAAAACAATTAAGCTTAGACTAGATGGCATACCATACAAACACAAAAACTTTCCAGTACTAGTAGGATGGCTAGGCCTCGTCTGGAGTCAGGTAGTAGGCCTAGCCTAGACTAGTAGAGGCTTGGCCTATTTTAAGTTCTTACTTACAGAGGCCTACCTTTTTAACAATATTCTACCCTAAAGGCCTAAATCTGTGTAGCAGCTAGTGGTGAGCAAGGTTCCAAGTAGGCCTATAGCCTACGGTTATCAGTCCATGTCGCTCTCAGCAGGCCAGAACTATTATACTAACTGTTTTAATTCAAGTAGGTAGCCAAAAGGGAGCTGGAGCTTGTTCTAGTCGAGACATCCGCATCTTCAATTTTGAAAATTTACCAAGATTGATTAATATGCATGAAGTTAGCCAATCACGTGATTTACAAAATCAGTCATGCATACGATATCCCACATCAAATTTGATGTGGGAAATTGCACGCATGAATCGTTTGCCCAGGCCCTAATTCGAAAAAACAGAAATTGAGTATGGGACGCCAATTAAATTAGGTATGGCGCGCACTAAGTGCAATAAAGAGTGAGTAACCTAAAATTAGGGCTTGGAACCCAGGCTACTTCACTGTAGGCGATCACCCCTGCCTTACTTTACCCATAGAAAAATTTTACCGCTACTTCCCCATTCTCGTGGGTATTCCTTTGCTTACCATACAATTTTACACGTGTGAGAAAAACTTAATTTTCCCACGAGCGTGAGAAAAAGAGACAGGTCCATCGCCTCCGAATTAGAGTTTGATAATACTTGATATACACTCAACTAACATGCATTTAAAAGTAGTACAGCATAATTATATGTTTTATAATCAGTCGTAAAATCGCCGATATTTTACTTTTAAACTATATATTGTGTCCTTGAAAGTTGGAAAATTTGACCTTGAATGTCCTGGAATTGTCCAGGAAATTTGCTTGTTTAAAAACGTACGAACCCTGGTAAGTTTTATTCACAAAATATTTAATCCTTTTATATGTTCACACTTAAAAAAAAAAAATAAGCTTCATCACTGAATATTACAACAAGCATAAGTTACAAAATAGCAATATAGAAAAAGCAGCAAAAATAAAGAAATTAACAGGTACCAAGTACCTCTACATCCCACCTTGAACAATTCAATGTCACATCGAACAGAAAAGATATGTGTGGGAAATTGCCTGTTAAAACGATACAACATACAATAAATAGTATAAAAAAAGATAAATACATTTAACATTATAAAATATATATCTTCATATAATTACAAGACAGACAGTTATTGAATTATTATTTATTTAATTAAACTAATACATACAATAACATTAAAAATAGATATAAAATCATATTGGATTATAAAAACGTTAATTAAAAAAAACATATTATTTTCACTACATTTAATATGTTGACCATTAATATCAAGGTGTGACTTTTTATTCAAATCCAATTTGAACATGTTTTAATCATCAAATAGTCAACTTTCAATAGATTAACATTGATTGGCTTAAAATACTATTTAGGTCCAATTTTAGGTTTACATATGTTTGTATTCTGTGTGAAGTTAGAGAGGACGCTCTTTGACAATAGTAGTTTTTTTTGTAACCACTTTTTTCCCTCCAGAGTTCTCCTCTTTCATTTTGGATGGTTAAAGCCCCATTCCCGGCAAAATTTCACTAAAAATGACTTTTTTTAGAAAATATGCATTTGCATTACTCCAATTATTATAAATCATGGAAAAATATTGGCATGAATTTTAGTTTTACGCAAAAGAATAAAAAAAATGAGAAATGCAGACTATTTCTCATAAAATTTTACCATTTTCTCGACGAATTCATCGTTACTAGGCAAATTCAGAGGTTGTAGATCGCATCCACTGGAATACTCTCGCTTTTATTTATACTTTATACAGCCAATAAAGTGCGCCCTCTCTAGTGAGATTACTTTTTGTACTTCACATCTCGCGCACAATGCGGTCGTTCGGTTAGGCTGAGATATGTTTGTTTAAGTGTCAAAATCTCAGTCAGAATCAGTTTTTTAACAAATTTGAAATAATTCCTATGAAATATTATATTTCACAAGCGTCAATACTAGCAACGGAAAATATCATGTCGGCCGTTTTTATGTGTGATAACAGAACCTAAAATCGAGGTAAGGCTAGGCCGCGCCTAGCCAGCAGCGTTGGATAGGCTAATGTTTTCGGCGCCTACGATATTTCTTCTCACGACCTATCGCAAAATCAACATGAAAGATTCATCCGCATTTATTTTTTGTGTGGAACACATAAAATCAAATTTCAGTCTTTTTTTTACATTTTTTTCATTCTTAGGAATGTCTAAATTCAGTTAAACTAGCAATTCCGTATTATATTTATAAATCTTTATAACATTATACAAATATTAGATTTTTCTTAAAAACTGAAATTTTGCCGGGAATGGGGCTTTAATGCGTAAAACTAAAATTCATGCCAATATTTTTCCATGATTTATAATAATTGGAGTAATGCAAATGCATATTTTCTAAAAAAAGTCATTTTTAGTGAAATTTTGCCGGGAATGGGGCTTTAAGCTAATAGTAATGTTTGTACTGCCGAAAAGGAATAAAATAGAAAAAAAAATCTATTGCCAGGAATTTTGTAATTTTTCCTGAAAAATTCATAGAGATATGGCTATTTTCTTGCACTTATTTCCAGATATAAATGAATGTTCGTCAAGTCCTTGTCAAAATGGGGCTGGCTGCGTGGATGGCTTTGGTATGTATAGCTGCACTTGTACTCCTGGCTGGACCGGAATAAACTGCAACATAGGTAAGTCGTACTGTATTGATGATGGACTATTATTACGTTGGATTGAATTTCTTCGGTGTGATTCACCAAGGATAACCCTCGAAAGTTCTGAGAATTATTTCCGTAGTATACTGTGTGGGTGTGTGTGTGTGTCTGTGTAGTTTGTGCGTAACATGTACATGGGCCATAATGCCCACGGAACCAACAGCTTAATCGTCCCATCTGCAAGAGGGTGCGCTATTGTAAATTGCATTTCAGCCCTCTAGGCTCCAGCTGAAATACAAAGAGAGCAGCGATTTGAATTGAACCAGTGACCAAGAGGAAAGAGATTGCGGTTCATCTACTTCAGTTTAGCCAACTGAACTGCTGCATATTAATAGCTTTACAAGTACAATATTACATGCTAATGTTAAATTTTTCGTTTCAGATATTAATGAGTGCAGTAGCAGTCCATGTTTAAATGGTGCAACCTGTAACAATCTGCAGAACATGTTCACTTGTTCTTGTCTTGCTGGATTCACTGGATCACTTTGTGAAACAAGTAAGATCAATTTAGAATGGCAGCGTAATAAACGTTTTTTAAAAAAAAACGTTTTTTTTTTTTTTTTTTTTTTTTTTTTTTCATTTTTGTTTGTTTTTTTTATTTTTTTTTTATAAAAACACTGAAAATATCTTCAAATTCAAATGTTTTTTATTTCCAATTTCGTAAGCAAAATTGAAGAGTAACAACAATTTCTCAAACACAAGAACAAGATTAAATTTACAAGTGCAAACCAGAAACCAAAGCAAAAAGATTTATTTATCAAATTAAATTTATCTACAGTAATAAAAACAATTATGTACAATATAATTTAATATAGTAGGAAAATGTCACTGAAATTAAACAGCTCAAAAATTCATTGATACGGCTATATAGTATAAACAAAATGTTTTTATGTTAATATTTTACGGTACTAAATTCAAGGCAAATTCAGTATATAGGCCAACATATATTTTATAAAAATGTCATTCGTCATATGATGTCATTCGGTAATTTGTTTTATATGGTAACATTTATTCGCAGATATTGACGAGTGTCAAAGCCAGCCATGTCAAAATAACGGTGCATGTACCGACAGCATTAACCAGTACACGTGCTCTTGCGTGGGTGGCTGGACTGGGGTCGTATGTAATGTTGGTAAGTTGACTTAAAAGCTATTCACACAAAAATACAATATTTTTTCCAAATGGTAAATACTTGGTCCCAGGTATCTCACACTCTCGTATGTCAACCCTTGCAGGTCTGTAGGCCTGAAGTCAGTCACAACTTAAGATATTTGGCTGGAAACACAAAGTGATAATGCTTCACCATAATGTATACGATAATGATGAAAATGAAGATGATATTGAAGCAACGTCTTTTTATTCATTTCATGATTTATGATTTTTATCATTTTAAAGATTACAATGAGTGTTCAAGTACACCATGTCAAAATGGCGCCCATTGCATCAATGGAGTTAATCGTTACGACTGTACCTGCTTGGATGGTTATAACGGGATCAACTGTGAAAATAGTAGGAAACAATTTTGTTATTGGTCCCCATTGAAGCCAGTCTTAAGTTAATGCAATTTTATTCACGATAATCAAAAGCGTTGGTTCACTTCCTGAGATCTGTGAGGTTGCTGCATTTTTTCGCTTCAAAAAAAGTAGAAACAGTCCGTATTACTGATTTTGCTGAAGGGAAAAACTCCAACAGAAATGTGAATGCGAATTTGTATGAACCGACGCTTTACTTTGTATGAATAGAATCGCTTTAGTGTAAAACTGGTTTAAAGCATTGAGTTTTCTATCATTTTCATCATTGCAAGAACTTTCACTGGTTGAAAAGACGAAAGAATTGAATGTTTGAATTTAATATGTATTTATTGACAGATATTTTTAGATAAAATTTTAAACACACTTTTATTACATATATTTGACTAATACTTTAAAAATAATATTTACAAACAGTACAACAATAATGAAAACATAGAACACCTTTAGATATCGTTTTTAAGTGATATATTTTTATTTACAGACATTAATGAGTGTTTGAGTAACCCGTGTCATAATTTAGCTGTTTGTATCGACAACGTTAACAGGTTCGAATGCGACTGTACCGCAGGTTGGACTGGTGCTAACTGCGAAATTGGTAAGAATAACGTGAATGATAATGAATTTGTAATAATTTATGTACATTATGATTAACATTACACAGGCTACCACCTCAAATGCATAATGTGTGGGTCTTATGCATGGGAATCCACTTTTTACATCTTACGCATCATAAGAATTTTTTAATATACATTTATACCATAAAATTCATAAATATGAAGTGAATTTGTCAGTAAAATGTGAATACAGGCCATATAAATTTCTTTTAAAAGCTATACCAACCAAAAACTCTACAAATTTAGTATTATTTTTGTCTCACACATCAGATGCCAACAAAGTTGGCTGGTATATGACATTATTATATCAACATTTTTTTTCTAAACATCATTGTTTGACCTTTAAAATTTATGGCTTGTGTCTAGATATTAATGAATGTGCGAGCAACCCATGTGTGAATGGCGTGTGTAACAACAACCTGAATTTCTTTAGCTGCACATGTGACAGCGGATGGCAGGGCAATCGATGCGATGTAGGTAAGTTGACTCTCCACTACTTATGAGAAAGAATTAATTTAAGACACTTTCAAAGTAGTTCTGCGATGGAGTACATGTACCTAATTGTGATATATATAAAGGTACCCCTGAATACTGTTAGCATTCCAATTGCCAGTGTCCCAAGTGTGATGCATTTCCTTCTGTTAGATCTGACTGAAGAAGCTTCTATAATATTTTTTATTTTGCTGCGCATGGCAATACACATCGCTGCTGTCTTCCGTGAGACAATTCATCATAAATTAGTAAAAGCATGCAAATATAAGGAATTTTCGGGGATACTTGTTATTTTCCGGGAGATTTGTGCCCTGGTTTCGGGAGTGCGGGAGGCCGTTCCAACATCTGCGAGACTTATGCGACTTCCTGGAGACTTCATAGACCGCTGCAACTGTTTTACCACATGCTTTCATGTGATATATATCATGCTACAAAATGTGGCAACATTGTTTTTTTGTTTTCACAGATTATGATGAGTGTACAAGTAATCCATGCTACAACGGTGCTGTCTGTCAGAACCTTGAAGATCAGTACACATGCACATGTAGTACAGGCTGGGAAGGAACCAGATGTGAACAGGGTTAGTTCTTAAATTGAATTTACTAATGTGAATGCAGCTTTATTGCAATTTTGTAGGTGTGGACACAGATTAAAAGTTCTACAATTAGTGTGAATGTGGTGTATTGTGGAATTACAGGCATGTTGTGTGAACATGGTATAATATATTAAGACACAGGTACTTGAACAAGATGTTGAGATACTGATGTGGCTCATTATTTTCAAGACACTAATGTGAAATTGGTGCATTATTAAGACAATAATGTGAACTAATTCCAAGTTTGAACAGGGTGAATTAATAAATCACTAACAAGAATTGTGTGTTTTTAACCATTTGCAAATGTAAGTTCAAATGTGGAAATTTTAAAATGACTTTTTGGAATGTGAGTCATCAAATCAAATAATTGATAACTTCTTATCTCATTTCTTTTCTGCAGATATTGATGAGTGTGCATCGTCTCCATGTCTGAACAATGCGGTGTGTGTTAATGGGGCTAACATGTACTCATGCAACTGCCAGCCAGGTTGGGAGGGAACAAACTGTGCAACAGGTAAGTTAAGTGAATACCAACTATTTGCCTATTCTATTTATCAAGAGAACACCCCTTGTAAAATAATAAAACATTCGACTCCTGGCGCCAGCATATTTATACTCCAGGCGTTTAAATTATGTTTTCGTACCTGAATAATATTTGATAAGTGTTTGTGAAGCTCTGTCCAGACTGTTGTATACCGATATATAGTCATGATGTGCCTATATGTTTATATTATCAGATTAAATTTGATGTTCTGGACAGGGCTAAGATGTACCTGACGTAATGTTCCTTACTTAATCAGATTTACTCTGATAGTGGTTTCTTTTTCTGATATACCTGTTTACATCAAAATGTTTGTCTTCTATTGTATGTGGAACTTGGTTCTTTAGTAAGTTTAGTTTACGATTTCTGAACTGTTCAAGCTTCTTTAATAATGATATGTGGTACACATTTCTACTTCTGCATTCAGGCTTGTCATCACACTAGGTTTACCAATCTAATGTGTTCAAGAATTTAAACTAGTTGGTCCACCCAGCAAAGTCACTGAGCATTAACTGAAAGAACGCTCAGAGCACGTCAGCTTGTATACTCTAGGCCTTTTGATTTAACATTGCAGTCTGTGGTACTAACACCTGCATGTTATGAATTAAGCTGTGAAACCTGTAGGTTGTTCAAGCCTGGTTAAGGGTATTGGTAATCGTAGGATATTTGCAGAGCGCTTTTCAGAATAGAATCGTCTCAAGGCGCTGACAGTATACAGACTCCTAAGTCAGATTGGAAAATAAAAAATTGCAAAAAATAAACTGACAACACAAAAGGAAAAGGAAGTGTAATGCCTGGCATAAAATAGCCTAACCGTGCTTATTAAAAAAAATATAAGCATAGCTTAAGAAAGCAATGTTACACAATAATCAATGTTTTGCAGATTTATCATTATTTTGCCCTTTATTTCAGATACAAACGAGTGTGCCAGCAATCCGTGTCAGAATGGCGGTGCGTGTGTTGACGGAACAAATCGTTTTGACTGCACGTGTATACAGGGATGGTCGGGCACTTTATGCGAGCAAGGTAGGCCAATTTTTATCTTTATAATCTCTTTATATTGACTTTCATTTGTGTTTTTAGGAGGAAATAGTTTGAGCCAAGCAGTGTTTTATAATCAGTATAACTGGGTAAACTGCCCTCGATTTCAGAATCTAATGCTGGTTTAATGCATTTATTTTCTTGTTTAAGAGTCTATTGTTAATAGATTTGTATGTAAGAATCTGTTAATGTTGGTTTAATAAATGTATTTTCTTTTTAAGGATTTGTTAATTATGTTTAATAGATTTATTGTCTGTAAGAATCTATGAATGTTGGTTTAGTAGATTTATACTTAGAAAAATATTTTAATATATATATTGTCTTTAAGAATCTGTTTAAATGGTGGGTAATAGATTTATTATCCTTAAGAATCTGTTAATGTTGGTTTGATAGATTTAGTGTTTGTCAGAATCTGCTAATGTTGGTTTTAATAGATATATTGTCTTTTGAAAAATCTGTTAATCACGTTTAGTAGATTAATATTTTCTTTGTAAGCATATTTTTATAGTTGTCATTGTTAGATATATTTTTGAATCTGTTAATGGTGTTTAATGAAATAGGTGTTAGTTTTGTTTTTAAAAAGGCAATGCGCTATAGGTATCAGGCCTCGAATGTGGGGATTTTATGGGGAAGGTTAATGGCATGACTTCGGTATGACATGACTTTGAAAGGCACCAAGGCCAAATGGAAAGGCATCAAGGCCAAAATTTCAAAATATAAAAGGGCACCAAGGCAAAATTTGATTTAGCCTCAGTACTAATCTCTCGCGAGTGCCTTGATTCGTAGCCAAGCTCGGCTTAGGCAAGTCATCGTTGTAAATGGTAAACTGACTTTGTTTAGAGTATTAACTATTAATTAACGATTCAATTTTGGAATATACCTTTAGTTTTTTGCGGTGGTCGGCGATCGTAAACAAAACAGTCAAAGTTCAAGAAGTGCAATCTCTGATGTTGTTGCTCAGAGCGTCACCATCGGAGAGGAGGCCACACCTCTAAACTGGCCATCATCCAACTAGATTAGCCGAGTGTCAACCATTTAATTTAATTTCACACGCTTGAGCTGCGATGACGTCAGATCGCCCAAAGCTAGCTGTGACACAGCATAGAAGCACATGTTTACAGCAAAGGTCACTACATGTTTACCACTGCAATTACCGCTCGAGTCAGACGCATGCGCACACAACGATAACCGCAAAAACAGCTCATGAAATACTCTCCCATTGAACGAATGAGAAACATCCATTATTTGTTTTATACAACTCCTCTGTATCTCTCTCCATTACAGTATATCAATCAAGAATTGTTAACTAGTACTCAATCTAAAACTATTTTTGGAAAGGATAATTTTGCAAATGTTATGCTTCACCAGTGAAAACATGCATTATTGGACATTCATACGTGAGATGACTTTTTGAGTATTATATCACATGGCAGATTTTATTGATTGTCGTACAATATCGCATCAGATTCCTGTCATCGATCAATATTTATGTCTCTCCACACAAAGTTGTCAGCTTCATGCTTTTGTGCGTTACATATTTTTTCTCTTATGCCAGGGTATAATACTGAGTATTAAGATCTGTCCATATCGCTTTTTTTTTTATACCAAAAACTGTTTTTATGGCCATATATAGTCATGATGTGCCTATATATGGCCATGATGTGATGTCATCAGGACCATATTTAGGCATGTCACTTTTTTCAAATTATTATGCTTCCTCTACTGTAGGATATCTGTCAAAATTTAGAAAATTAATGGATTTTTCAGGAATGAGCGATCATATTCAGCACAAATGACATAATAATAATTATAAATATGTATTCGTATTTGTTTTTTTATCTTTGTAAGGTTGTGAAATCTCTGCAGTATTTATCAATGTAACTTTAATCATAAAAATTGATCAATAACACATTATCATAAATCATAGTTTTGTCAGGTAACACATTATTTAATATCTTGTCAATCATTTTTTTTCCATGGTAACAGAGGATGATGAGTGCCTCAGTGGTCCTTGTCAGAATGGTGGTATCTGTTTTAATGAAGTTGGTATGTTCAGGTGTGGATGTTTACCTGGCTACGTTGGTGAGCATTGTGAAACAGGTGAGGGCAGCCTTAAATTTTGTTTGTCAAAATGTGTTTGTCATTAATTAATTAATTAATTTATTTATTTTTATTTATTTATTTGTTATTTAAATTTTTTTCTTTGAATTAATTTTATTTATAAGATATATTAGGTTTTTTTTTTTTCTCTGTTGTAATTATATTTGAATGCCTTTGTGTTATTACCTAACAGCACCACTGGTACCTATCTTTTTTTTTCTGATTTGGCTTCCATGGCAAAATATTGTCTCCCTTCGCCTAGGAACTGTGGTGGCACCTAACCATTAGATGAGCGATAGTGCAGCGCCCCCATGCATCATAGACCATAATATAATCACATCGTGTGAAGTCTTCAGATCGTCAAGAAAAAACCTGCTTAGTGGGAGTCACAGACTTGAACTCGCTGTCCAGTCCACCCCATCAAATTTTATGTAACAAATTCGGGTGATGTGCCCATGTATGGGCATAATGATGTAATTTTACACCTAAATATGGGCATATCGCATTTATTTGTCGCACAATATTTGAAAGTGCATACAGATCTTCAGTTGTAGGCCGGCCCATAGTATTTGCGAATTAATGGAAAGACCAGACTTCCGAAATACAGACTACGTTCAGACCTGATAGATACGCCAGGTGTATCTAACGCTGGGCGCACGTTAATCCATGCGATAACTAGCGAGATGTCCAGACTAGGTGAATAACGAACGCTAGCGTAAATATTCGCACAAAATATTAGTATTCATAATTTGCGCATTTTATTTTCTGTTTTCATCTAGGCTTACTTTGATTGGTCAAATCCTGGCGGAGTTCAAAATCACTGATGCGTGACTGTCGTAAATCAGTGGCGTACGCTAATCTGGGATCTATTGTTGGATTACCGTACGCCAGTGTTTGCGCGATATTACTGGCGTTCGCTATGCTGCGCCCAAGTTCGCACCACTCAATTAAAGATACGCTAGTGTAAGTCATTGCGTCTGAACATAGCCAATGTAGGATAACATAACATAATATAATAATACTTTTCCCTAGTATAACATTTTTCTGTAAATTATGCACACACTTTCCCACTAATAAAATTTATATTTTCTCAGGATTCTAATTTTCCAAACCTGTGTGGTAAAGCGGGACACCCCTTGTGCACGATGGTTGTTGTACGATGCGATTCTATAAAGAACGCAACATGACAAGGTGCGAGCAACGGATTGTCTTTAATGACAATTCGTTCAGACTCCCACAGACAATCCGCAGACGGCGTTGTGTCGTAGTTGGATCCGTCATGCGACAGTCGTAGGACGCTGTGAGCGCCCCGCTTAACCTGCATTTTTTTTCCCATTGGATATATGTTACTGACATGCTTCCAATATCTACTAAAGTCTTATTTTTTTTTTACAGAGATCGATGAATGTGTAAGCAACCCGTGTGTTAAGGGCAATTGCAGCGACAATGTCAATGGGTACACGTGTGTCTGCTCCGCGGGATTCATTGGTTTACAGTGTGATACAGGTATGTCAGCTTATACAGTAGACCCTCAAATTGGAGACCCCTCTAATTCCCAAGACCGATATAATTCCGAGACCCCACTAATTCAAGACTACTCTAATTCAAGACTTTTAAAAATCAAATAACAATCTTGAATTTTATTACCCTAAGCTGTGAAGTGAAGACCAAACCGTGAGACCACCCCAAAGCTTGTCTCAAATTTGAGGGCAAACTATTATAGTGAATGTTTATTTTAAATAATTTTTCAATTCAATTAAATATTCAAATTCTTTGTTCAAGAGATAAAAATATGATGCAGATAACATAAAGAAAAGAACATTACAAAATTGCTGATAAAAAGGCAATCACCTGTATGTTTTTTATTGAACAGCAGTCAACAATTAACAGCTGTTGTCAGTTATTATTATTATCCTGATAATTCCATGATTGAATCAAAACACTAAATTTTTGATATATGTCTGTGACAACTTCTGAACAGTATAAATTATGTTATTAATTGATTAAATAAGTAATCTAATTGTATATAAAAATATTGAGTGTTTTGAATTAATTATGCAATTGTCAGGAAAATAATAATCATCAATGAAAACAAAATAAAAAGATTATGAGTGCAAGGAGAGCTGGTACTCCCAGGTTTTGAGGGCGTATTTTGTGAATTTGGTAACGTATCTGCACCTTTTACTATAAACTATTTGATGCCTAATACCTCTTTATTACAACTAATAATAAAGTAATAATCTGTGATAAATTCTAGAAAACCATAGATATAATAAATATAAATATTTGCCATATTAGTCAAATATGATATATTTGTTTGAGGGAACCATTCTTTGAATAACATAATTTATTTAATAACAATCTATTATAGCCAGCTTCATCAATTGTGGCAAAGACAAGACAAACCAGTCACTCGTCGCAAATTTTGTTTCAGAGATAATGGCCAAAACATGCTGGAATGTCAAAATTTTTTTAATCTAGTGTATTGCACTAGACTAACCTTTATAATATTTATATGTCAAATAAAGTATTATTATTATTATGTCATAATTACTGTGTTGTTATTTTTCCCATTTTAAATGTTAAAACAACAATTTTTAGTGATTTGGCGATTGTTTTTGCCTGAGAAATGCCCAAAATCATCAACTTTTTTTATTTTTTAAATATTGTTCTTTAAACAGCTGTATGTTTAAACTCCTGTAAATTCATATTAAGTGTTGGATTTAAATGATTCTTTTACCATTTTATAGCTCTCATTTTACTCTTTAACGCTGTGTTAATAAATAAAATTGATTTTGCTGACGAGTGACTGATTTGGCTTGTCTTTGTCACATTTATGATGTAATAAAACCATAAAGATTTTTACATGGTCGCAGACTCAATTAGATTGCTACTTTTAAACTTAGCTGTTGGCTGTCTCTTATACACATCTAGATGTGTATAAGAGAAAAGTTGTAGATAGAGCACTTAATAGAAGCTAGCCTGGGTTCCAGGCCCTAATTTTAGGTTACTCACTCTTTATTGCACTTAGTGCGCGCCATACCTAATTTAATTGGCGTCCCATACTCGATTTCTTTTTTTCGAATTAGGGCCTGGGCAAACGATTCATGCGTGCAATTTCCCACATCAAATTTTAATCACGTGATTGGCTAACTTCATGCATATTAATCAATCTTGGTAAATTTTCAAAATTGAAGATGCGGATGTCTCGAGTCTCAACTAGAACAAGCTAACCAGCTCCCTTTTGGCTACCTATATACTTGAATAAAAACAGTTAGTATATAGTTGCCTGCTGAGAACGACATGGACTGATAACCGTAGGCTATACTTAGGAAACTTGCTCACCGCTAGCTGCTACATAGATTTAGGCCTTTAGAGTAGAATATTGTTAAAAAGGTAGGCCTCTGTAAGTTAGAACTTAAAAATACGCCAAGCCTCTACTAGAGTCTAGGCTAGGCCTACTAGTACTACTCAGACGAGGCCTGAGCCATCCTCCTGGAAAGTTAAAAGTTTTGTTGTATTTGTATGGTATGCCGTCTAGGCTTAATTGTTTTTGCCATTGCCAAAATTAGTCTTACTAGGGTCTATTCTAAATATTTTAGGCCCGTTTTATTAGGGAGGACTATTTTAATTTAGTCATGCCTAACTAGTCGACGCGAGCGGCGAGTGACTCAGTTTGGTGGCTCCAAAAATATGAACATTTGATTGGTTTAAATTGTTTATTTCGGTCTGCCCATTTATCCAAATCGGAATATAAGATTACGTCATTCTTTTGGCATCCTGGTGCCTGACTTCAGTGTTTCGCTTATTCCGTCTTAGACTGGGCTCCAGTCCCTAATCTGTCTTTAAATCTATTTTGGCACCAATGGCGTTCCATATTTATTACCTATTTGCTTGGCGTTTCATAGTATACTTTTTCTTGGATTAGAATAATTCATAATAATTATAATAATAATAATAATTGCATAAAAGTTTCTCAATATATACCGTCGCTGGTGGCGCTCTCCAAAATTAACTCTATAAATTAGAGACTTGTGGCAAGTCTAATTTCGTCTATCTCTAAATTAACTTTCTCGTTGGTGGCGCTGTCCAGAATGAGAAAAATAATTAAAAAAATAAGAGACTTGTGGCAAGTCTAAATAGAAGCAAGCGAGAACTAGAGTTTGAGAATGTGTTTAAATGGTTTTTGTAACAGATTGCTGTGCCCTGAAAATTGTTTTATTCAAATAATGTCTTCCTTTTATTGCCTTAGACCTTGATGAATGTGTATCCAATCCATGTCGCAATGGCGGTATCTGCATGGACTATGTAGGCTCCTATACCTGTACGTGTTCCGAGGGATTCTACGGAGCCAACTGTGACAACAGTGAGTAAAATTCATAGAGATATAATAAGAATACTAGAGCGCTAACAGCAATGTATTCGATGTTTGAAATACGCAGAGCTGTGTGTGTGTACCATCCAAGATGGCTGCCATAGATTCAGCCAATCAAATTTCCTCTGAGCACTATCATTTTCAATGGCGCCCTCAATTTACACAGAAAGTTCAGTACAGCCTAGTTACCCGTATTTTGAAACTCGAGCGTTGCGGTGTATGGGTGTAATGTACACGATTTTAATTCTTTTTAATATTTGAATAAGATGCTCTACTTGGCCTCTTTTTGGCTACGACAGTTTAATAATTTGTCATTATCAATACTAATTATCATTAATGAAATAATATTCAGTCAGAGGGCTTATTTATGGTAATAATATGTATACTAAGCCTGAAGGTGGCGCTTTCCTACGCCAGCCATCTTGGATGGTACACATACACAACTCTGCATTGCTCCGCCATCTTGTCAGCACTCTAGTTGTTTAATAGCTCTATGGTAAAATTCTAACTACAAAAAATGTAACATGACCTATCATAGTTCTATATTTCAAACTACGTTTCATTTTCAGGAATAATTCTATTTAAATGTGCTGTCTGAATGAAATATAAAATTCAATTTTGTATTTAAAGTAAACTATATAATTTATATAACAAGAAATAATGTGGTATCATCGTAATGCTCTCTGCATCTTGCTTTACTGTAGATCAAGATGATTGTCTTAGCGCCCCCTGCCAGAATGGAGGCGTTTGCCAGGACCAAGTCAACAGTTACCTCTGTAGCTGCGTTCCTGGTTTTACTGGAACAAACTGCGACCAAGGTAACATTTCAAAAAGCGTGATTTAATGAGGGTGGTGACGATGTGATAGTGGAATAAATGCTTGAATTAATGCGAATGCAGAAAATAACTGTATAAATGATTTGTCGCTCGCACCATGAAAATCAATCAAAGTGTTAGCGTCTGAAAACAAAAATGCGCATTCAAATATGCGTAGATTATAATTTTTTGCTGAAGGACGCACGTTTATGACGGCCCCTTGGCTCATTCTGCTTAACCGGTGGTAGCCACTGAACTTGGTTGGTCTGTACATAACCTCGGTCCATAATTCAATTCTATTCATGTTTTAGCTGTTGGTCTGAAATGCATGTTGCATTATAGCGCTCTGCCTTCTGGACGAAAAGGTTTATTTGTTGGTCCTGTGTACGTTGTGGGCCCCCTTTGCCCCCATTAAAGAATGTACACTCTTCAGAAAACCGATATGAATCTCCTCGCAATGTACTGCTGAATTCACCACCATAAGGATCCCACCGGAAATAGGTCTTCCAACTTCCGTGGGTTATCCTTGGTGTGCGACTAACTCAAATGTGACCAACTTTAGATGTTAACGCATAACTACTTTTGAGTGAGTGGTTTGCTGTTTGATTAGAATAGGAAAAAAATAATGAATTGTTTTCTTATGCTACAGATTATAATGAATGCTCCAGCTTCCCGTGCCAAAATGGTGGCGTCTGTACCGATGCGATTAATGGGTTCTTTTGCACCTGCCAGCCAGGATATAGCGGCACACGATGCGGTGAAGGTAAAAATGAACAAATATATTGTAATGGATGCTTCCAGAGTGTCGAAAGGACTTAACAACTGACTGAGCATAATAGGGTGCCAATTCCAAATTGAATGATCAAAGGCGCTGAGCGTTATTACCCCTGGTCACCGGGTAACATACAAACAATGGCAAACCAGCACAAAGTGGAACCTTCTCTGCTCCTGGGGAGTATACCAAGTGTCATGCACTTGGAATTAGTGCTCAAAACTAGTACATTCAATGCCACAGCATCCTACCTGGTACCCATTAATACTCCTGAATAGAAAGAGATAAATGTAGATAAAATACCGTGCCCAAGGACGCAATCGACCTGCACAGCGAGAGTTTTTGAACCCCTGATCTCAAGGTTGGAAAAACCAAGCCATAACCAATGTGCCAACCACTCCTAATATTCAAAGTACATATCCCAATTTCCATAAACTTTTCCAATTACAGATATAGATGAGTGTGCCAACCAGCCATGTCGTAATGGGGCTTTTTGTATTCAGAGTATTAACGACTACAGTTGTGTATGCGTCAATGGATGGAATGGCGAAAACTGTGAAAATGGTACAGTAGAGCTACATTAGTTTATTTCAGACTGGATTTTATCATTATATTTTTTTCTATTAGTACTACTATAGATTTGATTATATTATTAATTAATTTAGTTCCTCCTCATAGAAACCAAATGGCACTATAAGAAGTTCTCAAAATATGATCTCTTCATGAAAACTTTCAAACCAATCAGAGCTTAGGAACTAAACCAATGCTTTTGATGCATGTATAAATTTGCCAAGTGGAAAAGAGGCTTTACTTTGATGAACCGACTGTTGCCAAGTGACTGTTGCCAAGTGTCCTTAATAGTAGAATTTACCTTTCAAAATTAAATTGAGTCAACAGTCCTAGTACTATGTGTAATTGTTATGCATTATGTGATCATGCAAGTCGAATAGTCGAGCGGTTAATGCGGGGGCGTCGCAAGGTAATGCTCATGTGCACTTTGAAGAACCAGTACATCTTTTGAGATGAGTAGGTGGTTACTCCTGTGTACTGGTTCATACAGCCCCTGTTGTGGACAGACAAGAATAGCTGGTACCGGTTAACAGGTAGCTTAGACATGTAGACACCCTTAGGGAAGATGCAAGATACTGTACGAACTAATACACACCTCAAGCACTTTGACGCTTCAATATAAAGCGCTATATAAACCCAACTACAGTACGTTACATTATCTTTTGTTAGAATGCCTGAGATACTTAGGTGTAGTGATTGAAAGGTCATGGGTTATTGGGCTCAAGTTTGTAACTCCAAATATATATAATTTATTACTACCTAGATACACAGATCTTCTGAATTTTTGTAATATTAATTATGATATAGTTTTTGAAAATATTAAACAGTTCGTTTTATACTCTGTAGACATTAATGAATGCGCAAGCAATCCATGTCAGAATGGTGGCGCGTGTGTCAATGGTGCGAACATGTTCACCTGTAGTTGTGTTACTGGTTTTTCTGGAACCCTCTGTGAATCAGGTATGTAAATTATCATCACATTTTGTGTCTTTGGTTTTTCAGAAATACGTATTGAAAGATGATGATCATATTGATAGATGATGATAATATTGATGGAAGATGATCATTGTTGATAGATGATGATCATTGTTGATAGAAGATAATCATATTGATAGAGGATGATCATGTTGATAGAAGATGATCATATTGATAGGTGATGATCATATTGATAGATGATGATCATATTGATAGGTGATAATCATTATTGATAGGTGATGATCATATTGATAGATGATGATCCTATTGATAAATGATGAATATTGATAGATGATCATATTGATAGAGGATGATCATATTGATAGACGATGATCATATTGATATCATATTGAAATCTAAAGATCATATTTATGATAATTATATTTTTGAAGATGATAATCATATTCATATTTGATAATTTATTGAAAAGTGGTAATACAGTATTGAAAATGATATGAAAATGATATGAAATATAAAAAAATGATTATATATGAAAAGATGACAATGATATTCATAGATAAAGATCAACTTTTTAAAATAATGATCATACTAAAAGTTGATGCTGGTTTTGAAAAACAATGATCGCTTTGATCATTGAAATATGATAATCATATCAAAAAATGGTAAATATATGGAATCAATGTCTTACTGAATCTTCCATACATTTTTAAGCACCACAGCACTAATGTTAGTCATTCCAATTACTGGTAACTGATTTGTATTTTATACATTAGATGTAAATGACTGTAACCCGAATCCATGCCAGAACAGTGGTGTCTGTTTTGATGAGACTAATAGTTATCGATGCCAATGTCC